GGGGGGGATCCGCCCCCTCGACCGCGCCCTGCTGAGCCCACATCTGGAGTATTGTGTCCAGTTCTGGGCTCCACAGGACAAGAGGGATGTGGAGCTGCTGGAGAGAGTCCAGCGCAGGGCCACAAGGATGATCAGGGGCCTGGAACATCTGCCCTATGAGGAGAGGCTGAGGGAGCTGGGCCTGTTCAGCTGGAGAAGAGAAGGCTGAGAGGGGACCTGAGCAGTGTCTAGAAGTACCTCAAGGGAGGCAGTGAGGAGGATGGTGCTGGTCTCTTTTCACTGGTGGCCACTGACAAAACTAGAGGTAATGGCCCCATACTGAAACACATAGAAGCCTTCTCCTGGTGTCAGTTGTGACACCAGGCCGAGCAGCTCATCCACCTGTTCCCAACTCACACAGGGGTTGTCTCTGCTGCCCCTGGTAACACTGAGACACTCAGGCAATCCCTGAGGCCAGAGGGCTGGACCCCTGCAGGCAAGTGTGGCAGCTTGCTCTGTGTTGCCACAGTCTTTCTGGTGTTGTCGGTCTGCTAAGTAAGCCCAGACCAGGGCTGCGGAGGGTTCTTCGAAGAGGGCGATGACCACAGGGAGAGTCTCCTCCTGAGCCGGGAGGAGGACTGTGCCCTGCCTGCATGCCCTGCTAGCGCGAAATACTGCACTAAGAGCAGCACTGCACCTGACTGAGGAGCCACGACCTGACTGAGGGGCCACGACCTGACTGAGGAGTCATGCGCTGACTGAGGGGCCACGACCTGACTGAGGAGTCATGCGCTGACTGAGGGGCCACGACCTGACTGAGGAGTCATGCGCTGACTGAGGGGCCACGACCTGACTGAGGAGTCATGCGCTGACTGAGGGGCCACGACCTGACTGAGGAGTCATGCGCTGACTGAGGGGCCACGACCTGACTGAGGAGTCATGCGCTGACTGAGGGGCCACGACCTGACTGAGGAGTCATGCGCTGACTGAGGGGCCACGACCTGACTGAGGAGTCATGCGCTGACTGAGGGGCCACGACCTGACTGAGGAGTCATGCGCTGACTGAGGGGCCACGACCTGACTGAGGAGTCATGCGCTGACTGAGGGGCCACGACCTGACTGAGGAGTCATGCGCTGACTGAGGGGCCACGACCTGACTGAGGAGTCATGCGCTGACTGAGGGGCCACGACCTGACTGAGGAGTCATGCGCTGACTGAGGGGCCACGACCTGACTGAGGAGTCATGCGCTGACTGAGGGGCCACGACCTGACTGAGGAGTCATGCGCTGACTGAGGGGCCACGACCTGACTGAGGAGTCATGCGCTGACTGAGGGGCCACGACCTGACTGAGGAGTCATGCGCTGACTGAGGGGCCACGACCTGACTGAGGAGTCATGCGCTGACTGAGGGGCCACGACCTGACTGAGGAGTCATGCGCTGACTGAGGGGCCACGACCTGACTGAGGAGTCATGCGCTGACTGAGGGGCCACGACCTGACTGAGGAGTCATGCGCTGACTGAGGGGCCACGACCTGACTGAGGAGTCATGCGCTGACTGAGGGGCCACGACCTGACTGAGGAGTCATGCGCTGACTGAGGGGCCACGACCTGACTGAGGAGTCATGCGCTGACTGAGGGGCCACGACCTGACTGAGGAGTCATGCGCTGACTGAGGGGCCACGACCTGACTGAGGAGTCATGCGCTGACTGAGGGGCCACGACCTGACTGAGGAGTCATGCGCTGACTGAGGGGCCACGACCTGACTGAGGAGTCATGCGCTGACTGAGGGGCCACGACCTGACTGAGGAGTCATGCGCTGACTGAGGGGCCACGACCTGACTGAGGAGTCATGACCTGACTGAGGAGCCACGAACTGACTGAGGGGCCACGCACTGACTGAGGGGCTATGGCCTGACTGAGGCTCCACGCACTGACCGATACGTCACGCACAGGGTGGGTCCCAGGCAACTGGCGACTTGCCAACGTGATGTCCATCCACAAGAAGGGTCAGATGGAGAATCCGGGGAACTACAGGCCTCTCAGCCTGACTTTGGTATCGGGGAAAGTTCTGGAGCAGATCATCTTGAGGGCGATCACACAGCCTGTACAGGACAACCAGGGGATCAGGCCTGACCAACATGCGTTCATGAAAGGCAGGTCCTGCCTGACTGACCTGATCTTCTATAATCAGGGACCCACCTAGGGGGTGAGGGAAAGGCTGTGGATGTTAGACTTCAGTAAGGCCTTTGACACTGTCCCCCACTGCCTTCTCCTGGAGAAGCCGGCAGCTCCTGGCTTAGACAGGTGGACTCTGCGCTGGGTGAAAAACTGGCTGGATGTCCAGGCCCATATAGTGGTGGGGAATGGAATTAAATCCAGCTGGCACCTGGTCATGAGTGCCGTTTCCCAGGGGTCAGTGTTGGGGCCAGTCCTCTTTCATATGTGCATCCATGATCAGGGTGAAGGGATTAAGAGCCCCCTCAGCAGCTTGGAGGAGGACACCAAGCTGGGAGGAAGAGTTGATCTGTTTGAGGGTAGGAAGGCTCTGCAGGGGGGTCTGGGCAGGCTGTATCGATGGGCTGGGACCAAACATATGAGGTTCAACATGACCAAGTGCCGGGCCCTGCCCCTCGATCACAAAAACCCCATGCAGTGCCACAGTTTTGGGGCAGATATTGGCTGGAGAGCTGTGTGGCAGTGAAGGAGCAGGAGGTGCTGGTCGACAGGTGGCTGAATATGAGCCAGTAGTGCCATGGTGGCCAAGAAGGCCAAGGGTGTCCAGGTTGGTATCAAGAACAGTGCGGCCAACAGGACCAGGGAAGAGATCGTCCCCCTGCACTCGGCACTGGAGAGGCTGCACCTTGAATACCGTGCTCAGTTTTGGGCCCCGCACTACAAGAAGGACCCTGAGGTGCTGGAGCGTGTCCAAAGAAGGTCAGCGAAGCTGGTGAAGGGGCTGGAGCACAGAGCTTATGAGGAGCGGCTGAGGGAGCTGGGGTTATTCAGTGTGGAGAGGAGGAGGCTCCAGGGAGACCTTATCACTCTCTACAACTACCTGAAAAGAAGCTGTAGTGAGTTGAAGGCCAATCTGTTCTCCAGAATAACTACCCATAGGACTAGAGGAAATGGCCTCAAGTTGCCTCAGGGGAGATTCAGGTTGGATATTAGGAAAAAAATTTCTGAATGGAAAGAGTAGTCCAGCATTGGAACAGGCTGCCCAGAGCAGTGGTGGAGTCACCATCCCTGGTAGCGCTCAAGAAACGTGTAGGTGAGGCACATTTAACAGGATGGTGGTGATGGATTATGGTTGGACTTGATGATGAAGGTCTTTTCCAACTATAATGATTCTGTTATTCTGTGATTACAGCCATCACCCCAATTACCATCACCACCACCAGCATCTCCATCACCACCAGCATCTCCATCACCACCATCACCGGGCGCGCGGGGAGCGCTGGCTGCCCAAGGCAGGGAGGGAAGCGCTGCCGTCCACGGGGATGTGTCCGTGTGTCCGGCCCGTGTGGCTCCGTGCGGGAGGGCAGCCCCGGGCAGCCCTTCCTGGTGCCGGCACCTTCCACCCAGTGGCAAATAAAGAGCAGGGAACGGCCCTGGCCGCGTGTGCTGCGGTTCCCGGCGATCGGATCCTTGCATACAAGGGCCAGGACACATGGAGTCACATGGAGTGACACAGGTCTGCAGCAAGCGCCAGGGACCGTGGGGTGTGAGCAGGCACCAGGGGTGTGAGCAGGGACCAGGGAGATGCGCAAGGGACCGGGAGGATGAGCAGGGACAAGGGGGAAGGAGCAGGGGCAAGGGGAGGAGCAGGGACAAGGGAAGGAGCAGGGACAAGGGGAGGAGCAGGGATGGGCTGGTTCCTGCTGCCTGGGGCTTTGGTCCCGCTGACCCTGGATTTTCACCACCCCAGGAGGATCCCTGTGGGCACCTCCATTCCAGTGCCCGTGCAGCACTCGCACCTCTGCTCCCTTCCCGTTCCTGTCCGTAGTGCAGCCGAGCGCCCTCCGTGCTGAGCTGAGGCCACCGTGTTGCCCCTGCATCGTCCAGGATGACCCAGGAGGCCTGGAGGTGACATGGGACGCGGGAGGCAGAGTGCGGGGCACACGCCAGGTTTATTCCCCGTTCCGCTTGCTCTGCTCCCCTCCGTCTCTGCGTCACCCCCTCGGGATCCTGCCGCCCGGGCTGCCGTCGTCACACGGCCTTGCCCACGATGAGCGCGCTCATGAGGAAGACCATGACGAAGAAGACCCACATGAAGAAGCGGTCCATGACCTTGGCCACCCTCTTCCAGTCGCTGGCGCGGCGCTGGGCCGCGCGCTGCTCGCGGAAGCACCCGGCGATGTAGCCCACGCTGCTCAGGAGGCTCCCGTGGGGGCAAGTGCAGCCCCGTGCCCCGGCTCGCTCCTCCGCCCTGCCCGTCCCATTGCCGGTGCCACCGGGCTCCTCCGTGTTGGCTCTGTGGGGACCCTTGCAGCTCTCGCCCACCTCGTAGACCAGGAAGACGCGGGCCATGTAGTGCAGGATGAGCCTGCGGGCCCAGCGCGGCACGGGCCGAGCGCCGGGGCCGCAGTGGTGGATGCTCATGACGAAGATGGTGAGCGCCGTGGAGGCCGTGATCATGGTCATGGTGGCGATGTAGTACTTCCCTGCGGTGCGGCAGCGCGACGTGACGCGGAGGCCGGGGCCGCGCGCCCCGATGCCCCGCGCCCGGCCGGTGCTCACCGATGAGCGGCACGCTCTCGGCCGGCGGCATGCTTTCCC